GAAGGGAGGGAGGGAGCGAGGAGGGAGCGAGGGAGGGAGACAGTGAGGCGGGGGGTGAGACGCATGTGCAGTTGGGGCGGGGCCGCCTCCTTGCCGCATTCACTTTTACTCTTTCTTGTCTCTGTTTCCGACACGACTTTTATTTTGTGTCCGCGCTTTGCCTTCCCCCACTTCCGCGTGCAACGCATGGACCCGTGGAGTTGTCTGGCCTCTGTGTATGTGTGTCTGTAAAGTGCGGTTTCTTGTCGTGCGGTGGCCGCAACTGTCGCCGTCTGTCCCTTCTGCTGCTTTACTGGTGTCTTTATGAAGCGCGGCTTTTGCGTGCTTGTCTGTGAGGGAAATAAAGCGAAAGGAAAAAAAATAACAACAATCAAGCAAACAAAAAAAAAGAAAGAAATAAACTGAGAAAATCCGCTTCCAGGTGGATGTATGGAGATGAATTTGCCTTCTCTCTCTCTCTCTGTACCTCTCTTATTGTTCTTGTTCTGGCTATTATCATTTTCCCGACCCGTTTCTGATGTCATTCTTCCTGCCATTCATTATTACTGCCGGCGCCATGCGTTGATGATGCCCCCCCCCCTTTTTTTTTTCAAGCCCTCCCTCCCAGCATCGATTTGTGGCTTGGTGCGTTGCGTGCACGCCGTGCCTTAGTGAACGGTGCGGCAGGTAAGCGGAGCACAGACCGGCTCCTTCTGCTAGTTATTACTTTACTCCCTTTTTCTCCACGCACGCACGCGGTCTGTGGCGTCGTGCAATGCGCCTGCGCGTCTCGGGGGCGTGGGACGGTCTTTGTCCTCCACCCCGCTCCTCCGCGATGAAATGGACTGTCGCCGTTGGTTTTTGCTTACTTGCTTTTCGCTTTATGTGCGTATTTTTTTTTGCTTTTGTTTGCGCTGCCCCTCCAAGTGAGAAGAAACGATTTGTCGCCACAGTCACAGCAGCGGCCTGCCGGAGGAGCCACAAGGGCGGCTGCCGAAGAAGCTTTTTTTTTTTTTTGACTGCGCGGTTTCAGCCCCGAGCGTTTAATTTTCCCCCGCCGCCCTGCGTGCTGGTGGGCCATTTTCGCGACATCGTCGTCCTCACCGGCGCCCAAGCAAGAGACAAGCACGCACGCACACAGTTTTTCTCCAAAAAGAAAGCAAATTTAAGTAGAGCACACCTACGTCTTCAGTCCACAGCCCGCACGTAGAAAGGTGTAGGAATAGGTCCAGGAATGGCGGTTGTTTCCGGGTCCTTGGTGCAGCTATCACAGGAGTCCCTGTACTTCCCGCTTCCACTAAAGGACATCACCATTGAAAACATCGTTCAAGTGAGGAATTTGCTTGGGCGATCGGAGAACAAGGCCGAGAACGTTATTGCCTTCAAGGTGCTTGGCACGGTTCGCAGTCGCTACAGCGTGCGGCCCTCAACCGGCTTGATATTCCCTGGGGAACGTGCTAAAATCAGGTTTCTTCTTGATGTACCGCAGCTGCGGCGACAAGCCAGCAAACAACAAGGCGAGAAAGCTGCTGTAACTCTTCCAGATGCAAATACGAAGGACGAGCTGTTTGTGGACATTGCTGTTTTGCCCAAAGATCAGGCAAAGGCGTGCATTGAAAGCTCAGCTAGAGACAACAATGGAGAGAAGGCGGAAGGTGGGACTGCTGGGATGTACGTAGAGCAGGCTGCTGCCTTCTGGAAGATGATTGGGACATCCAAGCCAAAAGAGATGCGGGCCGAGCGCCGCAAGTTGAGCTGCGTGTACGGAGAGGAGGGCGTCCCAGAGAGTCTTGTAATGCGGATTAGTGGAGAGAAGCCGGGGTCGGCGGTACCCCCGCCACTTTTCACTCCCTCAAGAACTGAGACCCGCTTTACATCTTCACCGCCGTTGGTCCCAAAAACGCGCCCCCAGACGAATAACACGGACGCAACACGAAGATCTCCGCCACCTGCCCCGCCGCGGTGCTCGCCTTCTGCATCGGCCAGGAGCCGAGATAAGTCGTCTCCCTACGCGGACTCTTCGGTTGGGGCGACTCCGCCGAAGTCCCGCCCCCTTCCAATGGGCCTTCCAGGTGCCAACAGCGGCAGCCTTGGCGGGGGCGGTGGATCCGTCTCGCGCCCACCTGCCGCAGCTTTAAATCCCAAGCCTGCTTTAGCGCACCACCTGCAACCGTTATGGAAGGAGTGCCTGTTCTACCGAGTTTCCTCCAAAATGTTGGTGGTGCTGCTCTTTCTATCGTTTCTATGCGCTTTATTTGAAAGTGGAACGTTTTTGAGTCGGTTGCTAATAGGACAGTAGATTAAGCGAGGGTAAAAGCAAAAAAAAAAAGAGCAAACAAACAGGCAGACAAACAAACGAGACGGTGTGTAGACTTGGGGTGGATGAGTGGCGAGCGCATGACTGAGGTGGTGCTCGCTGGAGGGCCTCGACACGCGCCGTCTTATCTTCTCTGTGTGTATGTTGTTTTTTTTTCTGTTTGATGTGTTTTTTCTTCTGTTTCTGTTTCTTTGTTTTTCCTTTTTTTTCTTTCTGCACGTTTGTGTGGTTATATCCTGCGACACCACTGCCTTGGGTGGACGCTGGTAGTGGGCGCACAACAGTGTGTGGCTGCGATGCAAGAGCGCGCGAGCGAAAAAAAAAGAAAAAGAAAAAAAAGAGTGAGAACTGGTGGCGAGGTGGAAAAACAAAGCGGTGGGGAGGGGCGCATCGCATGCACCTTTTTTTTTCTTCTTCCTTCTTCCTTCTTCCCTCTTTGC